AGTCATACTTGTGTAAAACGGGTTTAGTCCCGCCACCACTTCAAAAACAAATCAAAACATGCTTTTAAAACAGTACGGGCATTACCATAAATTTACCTACCTTACTCCGCAAAATCGAGCACTCAATTCAGGTACTAAACTGACAGAACGATCGGGAACCTAATCAAAACACCTCAGAATTAATACCGAACTATCACAAATTCAAACTGAAATCATCAAGATCACTCTTAATCTCGATGCTATTCCTATCAATCTCCACATGATCAAATATCTCCAAAATCGTTCTCATATCACAAACTAATCATTTAAATTCCCGTTAAATGTTGGCCCTCGGGGTGTGAACAGTAACCGGTGAACAGTGCCCATGAACAGTCCCCAACGTGAACGGTAATTCCAACTTCCAAAATTGGCCAAAACACTAGCTAATCACAGGATTTTCTCCAAAAATCACATAGCAGTCATTTAACACTCAATCATATAAATTCCACTTGAATCAATGCTTAAATCTCATCCTAAAGCTACCGGAATTATCCCCCATTTTAGCCAAATTTGGACATCACAAAGCAGCAACCTTAAATGGATAATTTAAGCCTTAAATGGCTGTCAAATACCATAATTTTCCAACTGTAGAAACCGGACCTAGCAGGGGGAAGAAGCCGGCGGCAGTGCAAGGGAGAAACTCACAGGAACGAAAATTCAAAGCAATTTGCCCCCACAACAAGAGCAGCCAACGGACAGAGCAAAGCAGATCCGGATTTTCCAGCAGGGGAGGGAGATTTCTGGGTTCAAAATCAGGTTCTTGGACAAGAAAGAAGGAGAAATTCCAAGCTTCCTTACCAATTTTCCAAGGCATGGCTGGGTTCTCTTTTTTTTTTCTTTCGAGTGGCTGCAGCGGGAAGAAAGGAGAAGAAGAGCAGAATCGGGCAAGGCTGGGAAGAAAAGAAAGAAAGAAAAAGAAAAAGAAAAGAAGTCATCCTTATCCAAAATCTTTCCCTCTTTAAGTCCCTCAACTTTTGAAATATTCACATTAGGCCCCAAAACAATCTTTTCTCACAATCAAGTCCTTAACTTACACTTAAATATTCCCAAAAATTTGGGATATTACAACACTTCTATCAATATTACCACCTATTGTTGTAAATGCAAATGATCCATTGTACCTTCTGATATTCCTTCTAAAGACAACAGAGTCTTGATCACCTTTAGGGTTCAATAATCTCCTTAACAAGATTGGTGGTTTTCTAAATGGTGTCAGCTTGATTTTTCCTTCTTGGCAACAAAGTGAAAATGAAGGATTTTTAGTTTGCTTGGTTTTGTCAACTCTTTCTGCACCCCATAATATGGCCTTGCAGTCTTTGCATTCATATTGAGGAGGGCCCAAATTGTTGTACAATGAAGTTGACACTACAAAATATAACGTATTCTTATTATAGTTCTTTGGACAATAGTTTCAAATGGATATTTAACAATGTGGAACAAAATGATCCATACTTATTGAAGAGCTATCTTGTGAGTTTGCAGTGGAAAAAGAAGCTAGGTTTACATCCGCATCAATACCTATAATTTGTTTATAGTACATTGATTAGTTGGATTGAATATAACTATATTCACATCAAAGAGCATGTTTTTATTTAACATAAATTTCCTAAATGAGTACACTGATTTCATTTGCAACTATGAAAACTCAATTATAGATAAATGCCTTTTATAAATGAATTGAGAATGTATGAGAGACTCATACTCACTGTTTAAAGTATATGCACACCAACTTCTAAGAGTCCCATGTTCATCCTCATGTGATTGAACTTGTAATGTGATCATTCTATGTAAATTATTTTTAAAGATGTCTGACATATTCTTCCTTAAAAGAGATTATTTGTCACGCCCCAGAACCCAAATCCGAGGCGCGACAGACGCCGTGCACTCGTGAGACGGGTCCCACAAATGCACAAGGCTCGGAACTTACTGAACAAAATCAGTTTTGATACCATAAACTTTCCAGATAAAATCTAACTTACAGGAGCGTGGTGTACATGTATCTAAAATCTATGTCAAATCTCAAGTGGCTAGCCTTTTTTTTTCTTTCACGTCACTCCCCTTGATTTCCGAGTCTCGGGGCACACTACCTGAAATGGTGGACGAGAAAAACGAGGTGAGATAACTCAGTAAGTAAAATATGGATTGCCCTTAATTAAACGTATAGCATGCCAACAAGTGTAATCAGAAAACGGATACAGTACGGGCACGAAATAGACGTCTCCTCTATAGGTCACGGCCAGTGTTATAAACCTCCCACTGGCAGGCTACAGAAATTACTAGTGTATAATCCCCACTAGTAGGGCCACGAGCGAACCGGTTCTATCACGAACATGTCGACATGTGCTAGCGTTTATAAACCTCCCACTAGCGGGCACACGAATACATGACCATAT